CTTTTATGGTTTTCGTTTGTATTTTTTCAAAGTAAAATCCAAGAATTATCCACTTTATACGCACCGTTTCCTATTTATTTTACAATTTTCCAACAATTCTCCTTCTTCTTCTACTTGCAGTCTTAGCCTTTGTCACTCTTGCCCCATTTGTGTTCCAATTTTAACCATTAATTAGAATTGAATGACAACAAAGACATTCAGACATTCGGGAAAATATCATGGCCAACAACAACAACATCAAATTGCCAACAACTGACATTCATCCTTTCACCTGCAAAGAAAGAATGCATTCGTTTCGCAGTCTTCATCCCCTTCCCTCTCTCTCTGAGAATATTTCCTGTAACCATGCCAAAGACAAATCCTTTCTTCTTCTTCTTCGCTTTCATTTCTTCTTTGTGAAGAATAATGAAGACAGTAGGAGGATTTCTCAAATGTGATTCATTGCACAATAATTGAATTTTTAAGGTAAAATGTGAAAGGTTATGTAGGGGTTTTTTATGTTTCCTTCCTTATTGTCGTTCTGAGAGTCACACACACAAAGTCATGAATCAAAACATGAATAGTTTCTAGTCTGGCACATTATCTGATTCCAAGGTTTTCTCCATTATTCATAGACATTTCTTAGAGTTTGCATGAGGGCAAACATTGCAAAATTGGCATGGAATTGCAGTCGAAGGAGGGCTACTAAAAGGTGGTAATTTGTAATTGGTGAATGGGCAAATGCAAAAACAGGACAAATTATGAATTTTAAAAGTCCAGCTAAAATTAGAGTTTCTAGAGCTTAAGTTTTAGGAAGAAAAATTTTTGGGCATAAACCTGAAAATCCATGGAAAAATCAAAACAAAAAATTCAGATCAATAAGCTCGCCTCGAAAGAGAAACAAACACATAAAAAAATGTTTTTGGTCCTTTAATTTTAAAAATTTGACATGAAGTACCTTAAAAATAATTTTATTAAAATCCCACTAAAAAACCTAAAAATTCATTTAATCATGAAAATTCCCAATTGGTCCTTTAATTTTAAAAAAATTCACAAAAATTTTTAAATTTTAAAAATTCATGTCTTTTGGAGTTGGTCATCCTTGGAAAAAAAGATAAACCAAAAAAGTCCACGATTGGTGCTTGAAACATCGCGTTTCTTGAAAAAATAATCATAACAAATCCTAGTTTGGTGCTTGAAAATTTAGTCAAAATAAAAAAGGTCCCAAGTAGGGCGGGTCTGACAATATGATACCCTACCGCACTATGCATAGCTACCCGTTACAAATAAACGTTTATGTTGGAAATTTATCTGAAGTTGATCATACCAACCTTGAAGCTTTTTTGAATGCGTATTATAGCTTTATGACAGTTATAATTTGGAATCAGAGGGAACTAACATATGGGAGGTATATCCAACTCTGAATCGTTTTCCATCAAATTTGACGGAGGCATTTGTACCTCTCGTACCAAATTACATTGCTGTAGAGTGCATGATATGATTAGAGAAGGATTCTATTAAAAAAATTATCGGAGCCATGGATATATGGCAACCGGCAAAAAAATCGGTTGAATGCAAAAAAAAAAAAATCATCCGAATTGGCCTTACATTACATTTTGATACACAAAAAAACCTGAACTCGGAAAACGATATATATGGGAGCTATATCCAAATTCCAACCGAACTCGACTACACTTGTCACAGTTATTTCTCATCTGTATCTGATATCTGGTATCAAATATCATTCTGCGAAAGTGAGTAAGTGATAAACAACAAATCGGATGAAACATATCTATGGGAGCTATAGCTATATCTGAACCGATTTTCAGCACATTTAAAGTATTTGCTTCTAGGCTGAATTCGGTCGTATGTGCCAAATTCACTCCATTTGTCCTGATATTAACCATTCAGTGCACAATAAAAGTAAAATCGGATAAAAATCTTTACGAAAGCTATTTACAATTCTAAACCGATCTTCTATAAAATTTGCCAGAAGTATTTCTGAGCCGTATGAGATATCTCGTACCAAATACTTTTGTTTTGGTGTGCTCATTATGAATGGGACGAAGTATAACACCAAATTGGATGAAATATATGTATGGGAGCTATAGCTATAGCAGATTTTTACAAAATATGAAGTACCTGTTTCTAGGCTGAATTCGGTCGTACGTGTCGAAATACATCCTATTTGAATGAATATTATACACATGGCGCACAATACACTTGAAATAGGACGAATATATATATGGGAGCTATATCTGAATTTAGACCGATTCTCATCAATTTCAATAGGGCTCGTCTTTGGGCCAAATAAATGGAAAATTTCACCTCTATCGGATAATAAATGCCAACTGTACTTTGTCTACGTTCTTGCATAAATCGACTCAGAATATGATTATATGAAGATAATCAAAAGGAACTATAGTACACATTTCTAAAACCACCTCCATATCTCAATACCAGAGACCTACAGTGACATCCATATCGAATTTCATCTCTATCCCTTCACTCAATAACCAATTTAGTACCGAACAATTGTAGTACACATTTCCAAAACCATCTTCATATCTCAATCCCAAATACCTACAGGTCCTCAATATAAAATTTCGGGGTTCCAGCTCTATGGCTTCACCAAATTTAGTACCACATAGTATTTTCCGAACAATTATATTACACATTTCAAAAATCATCTCCATATCTTAACTACAGATACCAGCTCTATTGGTTCTATTCTAATTTTTAATATTTTAATACGCATAAGTACAAATTTCCATAGCAACCTGCATCATACAATCCAATAGAAATTTTATTTACCAAGGATCGGTTTACCCGAATCCAAATTGGCAATTCGTAATTATGTGTGCCCATGTGCAAATTTCCAGATACCAGCTCTATTGGTGCACCCAAATCTCAAGTGAATAAATTTAGTACGCTTTAGTACTATAAGTATAAATTTCGAATACTTCCAAATCGCAATCCAACACTCCGAGAGTATTCTTCTTTCAAAATTTCAGGATACCAGCTCTATTTTAGTACCATTTAGCACACATAAATACAAATTTCCGGTTGTCCCAAAATTTAGATTGTACCAAATTAAGTACCATTTAGTACACAATTTCCAAAATTACCTACATACCTCCGTCCTACATTTCAATAGCAACATTATTTTCAATTGTCAGAATTTCAACTCTATCGGTTCACTCAATGGGAAATTGTACCAAATTTAGTACCACTGAGTACTCATAAGTACGGATTTCCAAAATTCCCTACATAATCCAATTCTACAATGTAACAGTTATCTTTTTTCCAAATTTCAGAATTCCAAAATTTACGTTGTTCCAAATTTGGTACCATTTAGTACACATAAGTACGCATTTCTAAAATTATCTCCGTATCTCAGTCCTACATTGCAATAGTAACTGTTTTTCCAAATTTCAGCTTTTTAGCTCTATCGGTTCACCCGAATCGAAATTGTACAAAATTTACTACCATTTAGTACTTTTCGAGCACACATGTACAAATATTGGAAACTTCCTATATATCAATTCTACACTCGACCAATTATGTTTATTTCAAATTTCAGGATTCCAGATCCATCAGTTCCTCCAAATTCAAATTGCCCCAAATTTAGTACCGTTTAGTACTAGTCGTATACGTGAGTCAACACTTCCAAACCTACGTCTTTACATCTACTCTACTCCTCAACCTTGATTCACATTCCAAATTTCACGTTTTTTGGTACCAAATTTAGTACATTTTAGTACTTTTAGTACACTTTTAGCGCGAATTTCCAAAAACCCTTTGGTACATCCATCATACACTTCATCAGTGACCCTCATTCCAAACTTAAGAGTTCTAGCTCTTGGTACCATATTTTATACCGTTTAATACTTTTTGTACTCTTTTCGAAAAAACCAGCATTATCTGATTCCTTCGGACCAAGGGTGACCATCACCCAAAATATCAACCTTGATTCCCATTCCAAATTTCAAGTTTTTAGCTCTAACCGTTCACATGATACGAAATGGTACCAAATGTAATACATTTTAGGATTTTTCGTACACTTAGAGTGCGAATTTTCAAAAACCATTTCATACATCCGTCATACATCATCAGAGACACTCTTTCCAAATTTAAAAGTTCTAGCTCCATTGCTTCCTCAAATACAAAGGGTACCATATGTAGTACCTTTTTATGCATTTCGTTTCGTTCTAGTACGAATTTCTGAAAATCCAGCCTTATCTGACCCTTTCGGACCAAGAGTCACCCTCACCCAAAATTTCAACCTTTACAAATTTCAAGTTTTTAGCTCTAACCGTTCACATGATACGAAATGGTACTAAATGTAATACATTTTAGGATTTTTCGCCCAATTAGAGTGCGAATTTCCAAAAACCATTTCATACATTCGTCATACACCACCAGAGACCCTCTTTCCAAATTTAAGAGTTCTAGCTCCACTGCTTTCTCAAATACAAAGGATACCATATGTAGTATCTTTTAATGCATTTCGTTTCGTTCTAGTACGAATTCCTGAAAATCCAGCCTTATCTGATCCCTTCGGACCAAGAGTACCCCTTACCCAAAATTTCAAGATTCTAGCCTTAGCCGTTTAGTCTGAGCGTTGATGAATCGTTACTTTTATTCTTTTATTAATATATATAAAATACAAAAAAATATTTTAAAATATTTAAAAAAATATTTTTTTTTAAATAAATAAAAATATATTTTAAAAAATTCACTTTTTGGTCGTCCAAAATTTATGTAATTTTTTAAATTTATTTTTTTTGGTAATCAAAATGTGTTTTTAAAAATTAAAAAAAATGTATGCCTTATTAAAAATCCATTGGTCCTTAAAAAAATATTTTTTAAAAATATTATTTAAAAAATTTGTTTCTCTTTGAAAAACACTTTTTTTTTTTGTTAAAAACTAACCCATGAAGAATATATTCTTAACAATCCGCCCTAATGCCCCCAAAAAATAATCTTAAAATAATTTTTTTAAATATTTTTTTTCTTACCTCTCTGCGGCTTATAGCCATAAATCTCCAACACTGGCAAGCCATCCTCCATGAAACGTCGAACCTGTTGCCAGTTTTCATCGTTTATATTTATAGACTGATCTGCTGGCAGAACATTAACATCCGGTATAAATTTACTTTCAATTAATTTGATATTTTTGAGATTCTGATCGATTTGTAGAACTGAGGCCGAGGCCACCGAGATCACAAGCAAAGACCACTGGAGCCACATTTTGTCTATGAAAGTCAAGAAAAAATATTTCTAAAAATTTTTTAAAAATCTCTTAGGGCGTTTCTAACCCTTTTGCAATGGGTTGCGATAAGTTCGTCAAACTGCACGAAAACGAATCTCAATTTAAAAAATGCAATTTTGATGGCACGACTTTTGTTTAAATATTTTTAGTTATTATTGTAATTGTTGTATAATTATGTCGATTATTTGTTAATAAACATTGTTTAGTATTTTTTTTTTATTTAATTGTTTCACTTGTCGCTTTTGCTTTTGTTTTAAAGACGGAGATCGTTTAGTAGATTGCTTTTGTTTGTTAAATTGGCTGATTATCTTTTCTTTTGTTGTTGTTGTGGTTGTCTTCAAGTATTTACATTATATTTGTTGTTGTTGTTGGAGTTTTACACTTTTTCTATATTGCCACGAATTGTTTGTTAACTGCAAGCTGTAATTATAAAATATCAATAAATATTTTTTTGATTAAATAACCCATTGATCGATTGGCAATTTCACCTGGTTATCTTGATCTCCCTGCGCGTGTGTGTGGCGCAATGGCTTGTGTTATATCCGTGATTGGAAAATCCACTTCGTTATGGAATCTTATTGAAACCAGTGGAGAGGGAGAAAGCTTACGGTTGGAGTCATAACATATCCCACACCTTGAGCTTGTAACAAAGGAAATCAAATCAAGCTCTTAGCAGGTGTATTACATTGTATTTTATAAAGAGTAATTGGGTCACTAGGAATTACACATTTGGTCTATATTTATTTTCCCCAGTTTTTTTCTACCATTTTATCTAATTACACAATTTTCAAATAACACCCTCACCCTCTCCCCCTTTCCTCCATCCACATTAGATATTGTAAACTGCATTTTTGTAATTTCCAGAAAATGTAAAAATATTGTTATGTCGTTTAAAAAAAAAACAAGTTTTTTTTCTCTTCTAATTATAGCTGACAACCAACGCCAGAGAGCAGCGGGTTGAATGCTCCCATTCAAAACTATGTTTTTAGGCTTGTTTTAGCCATAAATGTTTAGCAATTGTTTTTCTGTTTTTGGTTTTCAAAGTGACAACTGTGGTTATGACAATGTTGACGTGATGCAACAGCTAATGTTGTGCAATCGGAATTTGAAAAAAAAAGACAAAAAAAAAAATAAATAAATAAACTGCATAACGAACAACAATCGGAAAAACTAAATAAAAAACGAAGTGAAACTTAAAATAGGAAAAACTGCTTAGCCGGGTATGTGAGGGTTGAACAATGTTTATACGTAACGCGTAATCACTTTTCCCTAAATCAAATTTGGAACAGGAATTTTTATATCCTACACCACACTAAAGTACAAGTTATTGCATCTTTGTGCAGTTCTTTGTAACATGCGGAAGGCTATAAGCAAGAAGGCTAAATTTGGCGAAAATCGATTTAGATATAGTTATAGCCCCAATATATATCCTTCATCTGATATTCAAGTCCCCCAAAGCGGTAGTATACACTTATACAAATATCAAATACAGCATAGATGTAGCCTCGCAAATTAATGAGATCGGTTCCAATTTTGATATAGCTAACCAAATATATATCTTTATCCGCTTTCATGTTTATTTTGTTCCAAATGCGTAATATCAACCTAGATAGGATGAAATTTGGTACAAACCAATTTTCCAGGAAAATGTACAACTTGTTGAAAATGGGTTTCATATATAACTTTAAATAAAATTTGGCGGTTGGCAATGTTAATCATTTAATTTGTTCCAAATAGATTTGTTTACATCAATTTTTGAATATGATATCTCTCAAATGGCCGCCTCTGGCGTTGATGACGTATTGTGCCCTTTTTGCTGCATTTTCCATCGTTTTTGCCAACATTTCGGCCGGAATAGCGGCTATTTCTTCACGAATGTTGTCCTTGAGCTCTTCTACGGTCCTTGGCTTGCTAACGTAAATCTTTGACTTCAAATATCCCCACAAGAAGAAGTCAGGCGGCGTCAAATCGGGCGAACGCGGTGTCCAGTCCAAATCACCAATTTTCGACATCAAACGGCCTGGAAACAAGTTCTTCAGAAAATCGATTGTTATGCGACTTGCGGTGTGCGGTGGAGCGCCGTCTTGTTGAAACCAGAACTGCCTCATACGCTTTCGACGAATAATTGGCATCACAAAATTGGTCATCATGGTAACAGCATGGCCATTTTCATTTTGGAAGAAAAACGGCCCAATGACCATTTTCGCACTAACGTCGCACTAAACTGTGACTACTTCGACATGAAGAGGCACTTCTTGAATCTCCTGAGTATTTTCAGTGGCGTAAAAAACGGCAATTTTGCTTATTTACGGTCCCATTCAATGTGAAATGGGCTTCATCGGACATGATAATTATGTCCAAAAATGCTCGTCATCTTCGGCCATTTCGATGACTCTTTGGGCCCATTCCAATCCACGAGGCTTGTCCGCAGGCAACATTCTTTGCGTCAATTGAATTTTGTACGGGAACAAATGCAAATCAATGCGAATAATCCGTTGTAAAGTGGACCGAGCCATACCCAACTGCTGAGAACTGCGTTTTTGGAATGTTCTTGGGGACCTCTCAACACTGGCTCGTACGGCAGCTATATGCTCGGCCGATCACCTTGGTCGACTTTTATATGGCCTCTTCGGATTAGAAAGAGCCTTAACAGTCGAAAATTTTTCGTATAAACGCTTAATGGTGTTCTTAGAAGGCGCACTTCTCACATTTTTTAATGTTTTAAAAGCACGTTGAGTTTTCACAATTGACTTCTTCTGTTGAATGTAAATTTCAACTATTCAGAGCGTGTATTGGTTCATGGTAAAAATCTGCTTGGACTGACGCTTCAAACGCGGTATGTCATTAAGCGATGTGACATCTCTGTCAAAAGTTATGGCGTTGCCAGATGGGTCCGTCGAATATGGGCAACCCTGTACGAAGAAATGGTCACTTATTTCACACATATAGAGTTATTATTCTTTAAAATGTTGACCTTACGCCGTGAACGTAGTGGAGAGGTAATATGTGCACAGATAATTTCCATTTTCATGCCAGTATTGGTAACAGAATTAGAAGATTGATATTGTCCATCTTTAAGCTTGATACAAGTTTGACAGAAGTATTAAGATAAGAAGTCTCATTCAAATTTGATGCTGCTTCGAGTGTTATTGTCGGAGGGACAGATAGACAGATATGGCTAAATCGACTTAAATGTCATGAATCGGATTTCGTCTAAACAGGAATGGGGTCTAAACTTATTACTTGAAGCAGACATAATTTGGCCCGAAGGCTGAGAATATAAACATTTTATTAAAAAATCAAGAGAAAATTTATAAAATTGGTTTTGAATAGCTTCATTCGACGTAAAGATTCAATAAACTTCCACATTATTTTATTATATTATTTTATAAACATACGCCATAAGCCATGCAATTAAGTTACTTGTTCCCATAGCCAACTATTTATTTAATATCCTTAATTTATACTCGGCCAGAAAGAGATAAATGTATGGATATTTGAGATAAACTAAAGTGGGACAATAAAATTAACGAAAGTGCTAAATTTAATTGAAATTACAACTCCTTTGAGACTTAAAATTAATTAATAACAAAGGGAATACTATGGCAGTTACTTTCATTTTTAAATTAGTATTTTTAATTAATTATTATGAAAATGATAAGAAACAATTTAAATAGTATGAGTCGGTTTTGTGGGGGAAGTACCAGAAGATTTGGTCCGATCGAATCGAATCGATCGAATATTGAGATGTACCAAGTCTGAGTGTAATCGGATGTTAATTTCGCGTTTTATTAGCTTCGTGGATATTCAAAATTTTAATCCTTTGTGGGAGAGGTACCAGAAGGAGTGCCCTGATACATTGCATTTTCACAGCAGATCTTGTGATAGTGAAAATAATGACACGTGTGACATTTGTAGAGAATGGGGTGCTTATTTCGGGTTTTAGGATCATTTTGGTTATTCAAAATTTTGACCTTTTGTGGTTGAGGTAACAGAAGAAATGGTTCGATCTCTACCATCTTTAAAATCGATCTTTTGATGTTGGAAATATTAAGATGTACCATGTCTGAATGGAATCGGATGTTAATCTCGAACCTCGTTACATTAGTATCAAACATTTGTCAGGTAACAAAATTGACAATATCGAGCATGTTGGCAAAAGTGTTTGTGTTATGTATGTATGGAGGTTGTACTAAATTTGTCATTCCGATGTAACTTATCGAAATAATTTTTTAAAGCCTAACTAGTCTAAATTGATCCAGTCCTATCCGTCTGTCTGTTGAAATCGCGCTGGAAGTCAAACGACTGGTGATATAACGCTTAGATTTGGCACAGAGGTGTTTTGGTCTGCAGGCGGATCAAGTTTGAAGATGTGCAATATCGGTCCATCATATCGAGTATCCGTCATGTAACGTTACCTCCCAATATTCGGTATTTTGATGATTGAGACGTTTTATACCGGAATTGTTAAAACTTCGGTATTAAGAGTTTGGCATGGATTCTACTTTTTGAAGAAAAATATTGTCTATAAGGAACCAAGTTTTCCAATAACCCCTATACAACGGAATTCAGCTACATTTTTATCGGAATTATTAAAAATTTGGCGTTTAAAGCTTGTAATGGGTTCTACACGGTTTTTAATGGATTGGTTTCAATTCGGTATTTTTAGTTCATAATGGGTTCTGCATCCGCTGAGAAAACATTGTTTATGTAGGGTTTCGTTTTCCTATAGCTCCATTTAATCTTTTATTTAATTATATTTTTTTCAAGAAGTGTACCTTTCATTGAATCTCGACCCAAATGTCCAATTTGTAATATTGTATATTTCTTATACTATCGAAGGATCTTCAAGGTGTAAAATGTATTTTTTCCTGAAAATACTTTACAAATGTTGTTTACAGTTCGAAAAAATATTGTAATGTGTATTTATTAATCCGCACTTAAACACCCTACTTTAAAGGTATTCACTTTTAGACGTTGTCGTCTCAGCGCATTTAATTGAAATTAATTTGTCTAACGCTGGTTAGTGGATGTGTGAAAAACACGAGCAACTGCGGTCACTCTTGTTTATTTCTTATCTGTTTGTTTGTTTATACCTATTCTAGTCTTTCTTTTGCATTCTCTTTTCTAAAAAAACGAGGTTTATTTTTCTCTGCAGATATATCTTTTTGGTCATACACACACACACGCACACGTTGACAATAAAGCAAAAGACCCCGAAACAGCCTTGTATGCGATCAGATTTAAGTGCAGGGGTCAATTAACCCCTCCAACAGTCGCCCTGCTGCGTATGTCACACACAGACGTGTACGAGTATGACAACTAAGTCTAGTTTTCAATTAATCTGTTGTATGTCAAACAGACGGACATATGTACAAACATACATATGTGTGGACATTATGATGTGGTTATTCAGTCATTTCTGCCCCTCCCCAGTCAGTCAGCCAGTCATTCAATGAAATTTACGATATTTTTATTACGACCACCGCAGAATTTTATTGCGATGTTTGGTTTTTTGGGTGAAAGTTCTGTCAGTACGCAAGAATAAAGTGAATCTTTTGCATTTTATATCCGGAATAAGTACAAAGAGAGAGGGGGAATGATAAAAATAGATTTCTTTGAGTAATTGGTTTGTAGTGGAAATGTATTTTATTAATGCAATTTCAATAATAAATTTATTTGGAAAATTTTATTTATTTATAATCGATGAGAAGAGTACGTCTTTCATTCGTATGACAATGAGTATGGGTGATAAATGCTCTATCTAGCTTCTGACAAAAATGAAACGAATTGCTTATTTTAGCCTTCAATGAATTAATTATATATTTTATAAATAACACAATCTTCAGTGATTAATCATACGCAATGCTATACTGTTCTCAGATGCGTATGATCACTTTTCCAGAAATTCAAATGACAATGTATGACCATTTGTGGTCACAAAATTAGCCGATTTTTAAGCACAAAACACATTTTCAAAAAAAAAAAAAAAAAAAAAAAAAAAATAGAAAACATTTATGAATTTAACATTGTTACTTAGTAATTTGAAACGGCAAAGAATGCTACTCATTAACAAAACATTTTTATATATACATACATAAAAATATTTTAGAAACTTTACAGTTGATATTGTCAAGTTTATTCGTCTACCCGTCTGAATATATGATGACTTGAAGGTATGGAAAGCACCTTCATTGGAGATAAAACTTATTTTATGTATAGAACAAGTAACAAAGTATCGGTCGGTTTTGCTGACAAATGTTCAATTATTTAAAAATATTTTGACTTCTGTTATGATTATTTAAATGTTTAACCCCTTATGGAGTAGGTTCCGAAGGAATGGGCCAATATAGACCATTTCGTATCGGACCTAAATAAATACGACATAAAAATTGCGACGTGCCGGGTTTGGACTGTGTTGTGTTGAAGGAAATATTGGGATGTACCAAGTCTCGAATGGAATTGGATACCAATTTCAAAATCATCACATTGGATCTTTTGTTTGTGGAAATAATGCTTATTTCGGATTTTATAAACGTTTTGGTTATTCAAAACTTTGACCCTTTGTTGGGGAGGTACCAGAAAGAATGGTCCGATGTCTACCGTTTTTTTTTAACAGATCCTGTGTCGGCAGAAATATTCAGATGTGCCAAGTCTAAATGAAATCCGATGTTAATTTCGCGTTTTATGAGCTTAATGGTTATTCAAAATTTCGACCTTTTGTGGGGGAGGTACCAGAAGGAGTGGACCGATATGTTCCATCTTAATGGCAGATCTTGGGTTTAAAAAATATTGAGATGTGTGAAATTTTAAGACAATCGGCTGCTTTTTTTAAAAGTTGTAATTATTCCAAATTTTGAACCTTTGTGGGGGAGGTACCTGGTGGAGTGGACCGATATTGTTCATTTTCACACCTGACCTAGCACTGACGCAAATATTAGGATTTGGGGCAAAATCGGTTTATCGTTTCTCCTTCTGTGCAGAAAATATAATTTTTTGAAAATTTCGCCACCATTTGTGGGGGAGGTAACAGAAGAAGTGGACCGATATATTCCATCTTAGCAACAGATCTTGGGTTCATAAAAATATTGGGATGTTTGAAATTTAAAGACAATCGGACTCATACATCACATTTTATAGGAGTTGTAAATTTTCCAAATTTTGACCCTTTGTGGGGGAGGTAATTGATGGAGTGGACCGATATTGTCCATTTTCACACCTGACCTAGCTTCAACGCAAATATTAAGATTTGCAAAGTTTGAGCAAAATCGGATTATTGTTTCTCTTTCTGTGCAAAATATATATATTTTTTGAAAATTTCCACCTTTTTTTGTGGGGGAGGTACCAGAAGAAGTGGACCGATATATTCAATATTAACAACATATCTTGGGTTAATATAAATATTAGGATGTGTGAAATTTGAAGACAATCGGACTCTTACATCACATTTTATAAAAGTTGTAATTATTCCAAATTTTGACCCTTTGTGGGGGAGGTATTTGATTGAGTGGACCGATATTGTTCACTTTCACACCTGACCTAGCACTGACGCAAATATTAGGATTTGGGGCAAAATCGGATTATCGTTTCTCCTTCTGTGCAGAAAATATAATTTTTTTTTGAAAATTTCGACCATTTGTGGGGGAGGTAACAGAAGAAGTGGTCCCTGTATTCCACCTTAGCAAAAGATCTTGGGTTCATAAAAATATTGGGATGTGTGAAATTTAAAGACAATCGGACTCTTATATCACATTTTATAGGAGCTGTAATTATTCCAAATCGGCTTATCATTTCTCTTTCTGTGGAGAAAATAAATTTTTTTGAAAATTTTCGATAATTTGTGGGGGAGATACCATTAGGAGTGGACCGATATTGCCCATCTCCGAACTCGATCTAAGTTTGATCAAAATATTAGGAAGTACCAAGTTTGGACTAAATCGGATACTCCCTTCGAGAGTTATCGTGCGCACCATCCAGCCAGACAGACAGACGGTCGGACTGGCGGACATCGCTAGATCGATTCCAAATGTTGTGAAACGGATTTGGTACAAAGAGACCTAGGGTCTAAAACCGTTATTTCGACTAGGCACGTTTTGGCCTTATAAATTTATATATACCCTCTGCAGCCATATGACTGAGGGTATAAAAACCTTCTCGGAGGAGAATATTGGTAGGTAGTTTTGTCTAACGAAACTCAAACATGATATTTCACAAGTCGAACTTGATGTGACTGTAGGTTGTTCTAAAAGTCCAAAATTTTGTATTGTTTGCAATAGTACCAAAATTACTATAATCATAGAGCAAATCTATAATTCGGAAGTTTGGCATTTGTTAAAAGGGAGAGAGTATGGATATGTTTACCAAAATTTGATTTCCTTTGCGAAAATTAAAATGATGTGGAGGCTTTAGAATTTAAATTAGCGAAGAGTAAGTGTTTTTGGATCGCGGACGCTGTTTTGTATTATACCAAACAAAAGGCGTAAATAATTTCGAAAATTGTACTATTTCCGTACGATGCAGTTTAAATTTTCCCAATAAAAGTAGGGTGCTAAAACGATGCTAAAACTTATTGGACATGTAGGTCACGGTTGTGTAAACGCCTCAGCGTGGTTGAGTCCTACCTAGAACTGAGAAAATACTTGGTACTGAGAAAATACCCGGGGTCAAAAAATACTAAATTTTAAAAAGTTTTGTTCATATAAGTAACCGGCGTTTACCACTGAAAAGATATTAAGGATTTTCAGAAAATTATGCCGTAGGGGGGCATAAATATGTATATATTAACAGAGATCTTATTATTTGGAGAGATTTTATAAATCTTTCACACAGCTTCTGTGCCTTACATATTATTTTTGAGAAATCTTCTCTTACGAAGCAAAAATTTGAATAAGAGATATGAAGAGTCTACAGAAAATTTTTTCAAAATGTCAACTTTTTTTTATGGGCCACATGCGTAGAGTTGAATGCAACCTGTGTGACATTTTGAGGCTATTGACACCAATACAGAAAGCACTGAAGGAAACCTGTGTTCACTCAAATCCAAACTTTACTCTTCTTCACCCTGAATTATTATTTTCTTGTTTGGTAGCAATAAAATGTCATTTTAGCATCAATGATTTCTTTCAGCTGTCGTTCATAGTCAATTTCCGAAAATTTGTTGTTATTTTTGCACAAGTTCAATTCAGTTTAGATTGGTATGTTCGTTCGTTCGTTCGTCGCTTGCTTTGGTGGCCATAAGCCATTATAGCAATAATCATTTTGGTCGTCATCATCATCACCATCGCCATCACCATTATCGTTATGAACAGCAGCAGTAGTTTATTCGTAGTAGTTGTAACAACAGCCGGCCGGAGGGGAACAGCTGGTGTGGAGGTGCTGCTGCTGGTACTACTGTGGCTGGCTGGCTGACTGGCTGTGGCAACAGCCGCATCAGCACCAATTACAATTGAATGACTTTAATTTATCTTGATTTAAAATTGCAACACACGCACACAGCCATACACACACACACACGCCGAGATGACATACAGATAGCCCGGCAGGCAGGCTGGCTGGCTGGCTGGCCGGCAGGGAGATAGCAAGAGAAGATACCAAACGAAAGAATGGAAGTGATTTCTTTCTTCATCAGTTACTGGGATTTGTCGCTTGGACTGAGCGAGCGTCTTCTGTGTTCATTCGCTTTTGCTTGCTGCTTGTGTCACTTTTATTCTTTTCAATTTAGTTGGGATTTTTTCTTTTTTCGGTTTCTTCTTTTCAAAAAAAAAAAAAATCAATTCTTTAGTTGGTGTTTTTTTCTCTGATTTCTTTTTTTTTTGTTCGCTACTCAATTTACCGAATTATTTTAGTTTATTTTTTGTTGTTGTTGTTGTTATTATTATTTTTATGACTTCTTGATTTGTTGTGTCGCGCTGAACTACTTGGCACTTGGGTTGTCGCTGTCGTCAGCCGTATTGAACAACCGCTCTCGTTGAATTCCCGTTTCGTACTGAAATAAAATTACGAATTGTGTTGCAAACTCCTGTCCGGTGGTAATTGGCCACCACAACTACAGTACTGAGTACTGCTGGTGCGGTGTGCTGTTGGGATTGTAGTTGTAGTAGTAGTGATGGTGATGGAGGCGATGTTGATGATGACGACGACGATAGCAATGGTGTTGGTGCTGCTGATTCTGTTGCCGATGATGATGATGATTGCGATTTTCTTCTGTTTTGATGTAGAAGGCGGCAATGTTGACGATGGACGATGGATATTGTGATTTTTATGTTTGTGTTTATTCGGTTTTTATAACTGTCTGATTGTTTTGCTTGGGGGTACACGGTGCTGGTACATATCTAAATACAACCGACTTAAATTTTGCCTGTCAGTGTATGAAGAGTATTGCCAACTGATCGTAAAATTATAATTTTACTATTTTTTATACCCTCCATCACGGAATGGCATATTAAGTTTGCCATTCCGTTTGTAACACCTCGAAATAAAAATTGTAGGCCCCACATAATGTACATATTTTTGATCAGCTGAAAATTCTATCACGAATTAGCGATGTCCGTCTGCCTGTGGAAATCACTCTAGCTTCCGAACGAAATTAAGTAGGTTGATAAAATTTTACTCATATGTGTTAGGTCTACATGACTCTTGGTTTTCAAAAAGGGCTATATTGGTCTACATTTAGCTATAGCCCCCATGTAACTGTACCGACAGATTTAATTTTTTTTGTATTTTGATCACAAATGTAACATAAATTTCCTGCAAATGGGTTTCTAATATGTAAGAAAACATCCATCCTGTCAATATAGGTCTAAATTTTGGTACGGCCCCAATATAACTGTTTATGATTTTAGCGACATTATTTAGCGGAATTGCTTTAAGATTCGTAATGGGCTATGACCAAAATTGCATATATAGGTCCAAGTCTGCCTAAAGACCTTAAGATTATGGTAATCCCAATTTTCAATATTTTTCAAAGGACTTTTTTTTTGAAAATTCCCTCCATATAGGGAGGACATTCAAAGTTTCTGCTTTAAACCTCAAAAGCTTTAAGGCCGCAGAGGATATACAGGGTGAGATGAAAAAACTGCAACCGACTTCAGACTGCTGTCATTTCCAAGCCACTCGCCCGACGGTTGTTAAAATTATTCCAGTGACAGCTCATTATATTGCTTACAAGCGTACAAAAACATTTTGGTGAGAATTTTCCAGAACGAAAGTTATTAGTGATGGAATTCAAGCGGATAGTGAGATTTGTTTGTATTTGGCTGGAAAGCCACAAGTGGCTATCGTTAGAGCACTCCAGCATTTAAATATGAATAAATCGTTTGTGTCTCGTACCATCGCTCGTTACCGTAATACTGGTAGCATAGCCCGACGTCAATGAAGTGGACGGAAGAAAACAGCAACATTTGCAGAAAAGGTTCGAAAAGTAAAGAAGCGACTTGATCGAAACAAGCGTCGCATTGGCCGAAAAATGGCTCGTGAGCTGAACATATCGCAATATTCCATTCGGCAAATATTTAAAAATGAGCTTGGGGTAAAGCCATTGAAATTACAAAAAGTGCAATAACTTACACCGCAACAGAAAGAAAATAGACTCAAAAGAGCTAAAGAGTTGCTTCGCTTGGTTGAAAGTGGGTAATTGCCGAATTTGGTTTTCTCCGATGAGAAAAGATTCGTTGTCGAGCAGTTTGTAAACAAACAAAATGATCGTGTTTACTTGCCAGAGAGGTCAGCTGAAAATGTGCACCTTCGGTTGGCCACCAGAACTCAAGCGCCGGCCATGGTGATGGTGTGGACCGCCATAACAGCCGATGGTCGCTTTCCGCCCGTATCAATCGGCCGTGGCATCAGAATAAATGCCGAACGCTATCGCGAAAATATTCTGGAGGGTGTATTGAAGCCTTGGGCATGCAAACATTTTGGCCGCAGAACTTGGACATTCCAATAGAACTCAGCACCATCGTACTCAGCACGAGCCACCCAAAAATTGTTACAAAATGAGGTTCCTCGCTTCATTTCCACCGCATTGAGTTTGGAGTATTTTGGAAAGCAAGGTTGGTACTAAAAAGTACCAAATGTCGACCACCTCAAGCAAGCGCTTCGTCGGGAATGGGCCAAAATACCGCAGAGCTACATTCGGTTAGTGTGTGACGTTTTCATTGACCGTTGGTAGGCCATAATTGGTACCAAAGGTGGCCAATTCGAACAAATCTAAGCTTATGCTAAAATTTGTTGTTATTTCCAACATTTTTGCGTTAATTCGATAAAATTAAAAAAAAAAAAACAAGTAGAGGCTATAGTCGTGCGGGGCCGACCATTTGATACCCTACAACACTACAATATATTAGAAGCCATCTTATGTCTAAATCCATTTTGGAAGATTTCGCTTTTGAAATGATGTCCCTTAGCATTTTGACTAAGGACATTTGCCCAATATTTACGCACTTAGTTGTTATGGCCCATTTTACAGCTAAGTATAATCCAATGATCTTCCAAAATGCTAGAATTCTTCCTAGTCGTTAACCTCTTCTCAGGCGTGTCGATCATCTCCAAAAGCAAGATGCGCCTCTGTATCTCTAAATTTGGACTCATCTATATGATTTGGTTGTCTACGATATTTGGCTATATTCGTCAAAGAAATCAGCATAAATAGACGGAAGTTTGACTTTTTGAATATCGCCTGTAAGTTTTATTCAGCGTTTCGGTAGTATGGAAATGTTGGTATTTTTTCACACACATGCGAGATTTCGTGTTCTTTTGGTTTCTATTTGTGACCTTTGCAACGGTTGTTGGTCAATTTCAACCCCTAAATATATTTTGGACATCTTTGAAGCCAATAGGTATAGCCCTTCTGAGTCTAACCCTACCCTTGTGACAATTTTCGTGAGGATCGGACGATAACTGCAATATGTATATTAAAACCCCAACCTGTGTTGTAAGGTGAAAAAATATTACAAAATATACACTTCAATGTTGTATGTCAAATTGAAAAAATCGCATGCGATAAAAATATGAAAAAATAAAAAATGTCACAAAATACTACAAAATCTATATTAACATCATTATTGGCTATTATTCTTTTATGTCTAGAGGGCATTCTGAATTGACAAAATTTGCTAACATCCCCTTCCTTTGCATGCATACATTGTATATATTTCGCTATATATATATCTGATATATTTACTATCAGCATCTAAGAAACGGTCAGAATCGACCTGTTCGTCCTATTTGTGATTTCGCCGGGACAAAAAAAAAATCGCAAACCATCACAACCATCAAAATTGAAAGACTTCTGCCCTGCTCTAAGCTCTAGCCTCATGCTATCATTCGCGTCGATTGGTCTAAATCAGGAAAATTTTCAGTTTTTGGTCCATTTCAACATCTAAATATTATGCGATCATCTCCATAAACAATGGGCTTCTATTCTGGCCCTAGTCCCACCTTCATTCTAAATTTCGGGCCATAATTGCGACCTGTAGAGTGATTACAAATTAACATGAACAGACGGACGGATCGACATACAGAGCTAGATCGACTCAGCTCGGCGAGATAGGAAGATCCATATACACTTTTCTATGTGGGAAACCAATATTTCGAGGTGTTACATAATTTTTGGCCCAGTCAAACTTAAAATACCCTCAACACATAGTGTTGTAGGGTACAAATATAAAAATTACTTTGTTATAGTTTTTTTATCTCACCCTGTATAGGAAGTGTATAATCTTGAAAATATTACACTTTTTGGTAATTTTGCTTGACAAAAATACTAAGGTACTTAATAATATTTATTTTAATATTTTTAATTTAAACTCAATTTATTCTAAGTAAGACATAATAAATTAAATCGAAATCCTCGATTCCTCAAAAATAAAATCTAATCATACTTTTACATAGGTCTTTCTGAATTAATAAAACATTTATTATAATTAAAAAATTACTTCTTACCATTCATTCAACTTAATACCAAAAGACCCAAACAGTTCCGGGATTCTCTCACAAAATATATGTCAATTAATGCTATACATATAAATCAAGCTAATAAATCCACCTGAAATGGGTTGGCCGTTCCAACGTGCCAAAACGCAATACATTGTTGGAACTGACATCACTTGCGCGCCCATACATGTCATGCCTGGTGGTGGTGACGGTGTGACAAAATAAAAGCTATCAATCCGAGTAGCATCAGCAGCAAACTCACAACATCAAAAACCCGCATTCCAATTTGGAATGAAACCCATCTCTCAACGTTATTCATCGGCCAAGAATTTCTAGGATGCATTTAGAATCACAACTAAAAATAACTGACTGACTGCCTGCCTGACTAACTGATTGATTTAGCTCATTCGCTCCGTCCGTCACTGTCGTCGCAGAGCAAGCAAGCGACACACATTTGGAATATTAATTTCGCGCGAAAAATCCCATAAAATCAATAAATAATTTTCTCAGCCAGTCATTAAATCAGAACGCTTTCATGGAGCTTGAATGAAAGAAGAGATAGTCAAGTCTGTGTAAATACCGTTTGAGATAAACGACGGAAGAGAATGCGTAGCAAATGGTGGGTTTGTCATCGCTCACGCTGTGCATTTGTAGGGAATGCAGATGACCATATGCAGATGCAATAACTCAAAGCATGGAATGACATTTTAATGAAAACAGAAAGTGAGGGTGAGACTTTATAATTATGTAAAATTGAATCGACCGAGACATACAGTATCCACTTTATACTAATTTATATTCATATGAATATAGACTAGAGTCCACCTTAAAATTGCAGATTCGGTCCATCAGTTCGCGTTAGGACTTTTTATACCCTCCACCATTCTATGGAGGGTATATTAGCTTTTTCATTCCGTTTGTAACTCATCGGAATATTCATAATAGAACCTACAAAGTATATATATTCTGGATCAGCATAAAATTCTAAGACGATATAGCGATGTCCGTCTGTCTGTCTGTTGTAATCATCTTTCGAACGTATTATTTCAAAATTCGTATTTAAAGTTCGT